CCGCCCCCCCCCCAGCCCTGTCCTCACGCTGTAATGGGCTGTTCCTGTTTGTAATCCCGGAGTAACGTCCTTTCTCTGCCCATGTAGCATGTCCAAGATACTGAAATGTGCTGGGAATGAAGACATCATCACTCTGAGAGCAGAAGACAATGCGGATACGTTGGCGCTAGTGTTTGAAGCACCAAGTGAGTGTTAGGTTTGAGAATGTTGCCGCAGTGTCTTTAGGTAGTCTTAATAAACCACCAGATTGAAGAGGGGGGAGGAGATGACAAGAAATGCTTGAGGAGTGGGAGGGGTCACCTGAGAATTAAACTCCTGAAACAGTCTGGGGGCATAAGTTTGTGTCAGCTTAGAATCATGGAGTGGTTTGAGTTGGAAGGGACCTTAAAACTCATCCATTTCAAATCTCCTGCCATGGGCAGGGACACCTTCCACTAGAGCAGGTTGCTCCAAGCCCCTGTGTCCAACCTGGCCTTGAACACTGCCAGGGATGGGGCAGCCACAGCTTCTCTGGGCACCCTGTGCCAGCACCTCAGCACCCTCACAGGGAAGAGCTTCTGCCTTATCTCCAACCTGAACATCCCCTGTTTCAGTTTGAACCCATCACCTATGTCCCATCACTACAGTCCCTTATGAAAGGTTTCCAGCATCCTTGTAGCCCCCATCAGATACTGGAAGGCTGCTGTGACAGTACTTTCTTCATAAGAGAAAGATTCTTCCTTAGGTCCCATACAGATGTCCTTGGTGGCTTCCTGTCCCCTTACAAGAGGCCGTTGGGTCACTTTCTGATTTCTAGCTCTAATGAAACAAGGTGGATTTTATGGTTATAATTGAGCTGGTTTTATTTGCCAGGGGAGGGAGGAGAAGGGACAACACTTAGACTCAGGATGACAACTTCTCAGAAACACTTGGTCAAAATATGCTTATTTTTTTTAGATCAGGAGAAGGTTTCTGACTATGAGATGAAGCTGATGGATCTTGATGTGGAGCAGCTTGGAATTCCAGTGAGTAGCAGTTCTAACGATTGACTCTATGTCTTAGACACAGGTGTTTTCCCATGTTCATGCCTGGACTTGAGCTTTGGGAAGACCAAACTCAAGGTCAGTGACTACACCAGGCTCCTTGGTAGCAGTTTTAACTGTGACTCTTCCTTTGTAGGAACAGGAATACAGTTGTGTAGTGAAAATGCCTTCTGCTGAGTTCGCCCGCATCTGCAGAGACCTCAGCTACATTGGCGATGCCGTTGTCATCTCCTGTGCCAAAGATGGGGTGAAGTTCTCGGCTAATGGGGAGCTGGGCAACGGCAACATCAAGCTGTCCCAGACCAGCAATGTGGATAAAGAGGAAGAAGCTGTAAGTTTAGTGCTCGCAGTTCCTGTGGTGTCCTCAGTGTTTGAGGTTTCTGCTAATACAACTAATTCCCTCGCCTTCTGGGGGCTAAAGCTGGGGGATCACATTGTTATTTCTCTGGTTTATAGATTAGAGTCCACAAATTGATGCGAACTTGAGGTCCTGGCTGCTGGGACCCACAAGCAGGGCTCAGCAGGGTGGGGAACAGCCCTGCCCACCTCAGAGTGCCCGAGTTACTTGAGAGGCTTGAGGGAACATGCTGCTGGTGACACTAGCTGGAGTCTGACCTGCTTTTCTAGGTTACAATAGAGATGAACGAGCCAGTGCAGCTGACCTTCGCGCTGAGGTACCTGAACTTCTTCACCAAAGCCACTCCCCTGTCACCTACAGTCACACTCAGCATGTCTGCAGATGTTCCTCTTGGTAAGTAGAAGCAGCTCTGCTTGAGAATGCTGCTGCTGCAACAGCTTTAAGAACTTCTGACAATGGCTTTTCTGAGGAAAACGCTGTTTCTTTTTCTTTTTCCCAGTTGTGGAGTACAAGATTGCTGATATGGGACACTTAAAATACTACCTGGCTCCAAAGATCGAAGACCAACAGGAAGGTTCTTAACTGGAGCAGGACTGAGGGGTGAGGGCACAGCCTGGAGAAGGAAGTGGTGGTGGTGGTAGCAGTTCCAGTGCGTTGGAGCGTCGTACGAGCACTGTTAGGCCTGTTGTGTAGATACCTTTGTAAATACTTTTTACCTTCCTCTTCTGCTCTGCTGCTCTCGTTGGAAATAGGAAATTTCTGTTTTTTTTCTAGTGTATTCCTCTACTTGCAGTAACTTCTTAGATGCTGTCTGAAGGTGAAGTAACTTACTCCTTGGCTTAGAGAAGGGGTGCAATATTTAACTCGAGTAAAGGTGATGTTTCCTGGAGTTTCACCTGTGGACTAGGGCTGCTCTTCAGTTATGCCACAAGTTTATTTGACCTTACTTGATCCATTTCTTTTTGAAGCCTGATATTCCAACTGCAACTTGGAAATAAAGAGTCTAATTTCAAGGGTTTATCCTGTTTAAATGTGGGGTGGATGAATCCACACTTGTCCAACTGTGAATGTTCCTGCTTCATTCCTTTTTCAAAGGCACTGCAAGGGGCCAGCTTGGGGGGGTTTTCTTGCATTGGAGTTGCCAGCTTCTGATGACTTTACTGTTGAAGTGACATGGTTACACTTTGAATGACTGATTTGTCTCCCATGTTCCCTCTAAGCAGAGGTTTGTGAAATGGCTTTTCCTTGGAACACTTCAGCAGATTCCAGAGCTGCCTCTAGCAGAGGGCTGGAGCTGTCACTGCAGTCCCTTGGTGCCTCTGTCCTTGCATGCTCCTAGTGCTCATGTAGCACACTTGGAGGTGTTTGTGATCATGCTTATTGTTAAGACAAAAGGTTTTACAGGTCTTTCACTCTAAAGGTTTGATCCTGAAGCACAAGATTTGGGGACAGTTTCAGGCTTTTTCTTTGGTTACTGTATAGCTGCGAGCTCACCATCAATCCTCACCCTCGAACTGGAGTGAATCCGCTTCATCACGAACAACAGCGATTCTGTTGACTTGAAGTGAATAACACTCAGGCTCCACAGTGCTGCGGGTATCCTCCTTTGAGAGGCTGTGTGCTTCCCACTAGTTGCAAATCAAGAGTATCCTGAGCATTAACTGCTTGAAAGCCCAGTTGAGTTAGCAGGAGCATTTCACAAGGGGGCAGTGCTGATAGGGAAACGAATTCTGCTGTGTCAGGGTGATGGGGCTGGCTATTGGCTCACAAACTCAGCCCTGCTGGAAGCTGAGGATGTGCTTTTAGTGCCTTTGCCCTCAATTCCTGCTCAGTGGCAGCACTGCTTTAGTAGCAGAGACAGTGTTGACTCTGGTTTGCTGCTGTGCACATGGCTCTCAGTCTGGTTTTCAGCTTCCACATGGAGCTTTCTCATGTGTCCATACTCCATTTTTTCCCTTGAACTTTCTTAGCTCACTGATTCACTCAGTTCCTTTAAGAAAAGATCCTTTAAGTAAGATTTTAGTTCCCTTCAAGTCAGCAACTGCTGAGTTACTGCCTGGAATGCTGGAGTATAATAACCTTAAATAACCAGGAAGCACTTTTTCCCCTCCAGATGTGTCCCTTCTCAGCTTGGATCAATGTTGTATCCACAGTGCAGCAAGTAAACACGTACACTGGTGAAGAATCAAGGGTTTGATGTTGAACCAGGGAAGGATTCTGGGTTTCAGGGGTGTTTGTGACTCTGGGATAGTGATTGAAGCAGATTCTTTTTGGTGCAGTGGGGGTTAACAACCTCTTCCTTGTGCTGTCCTACTCACAAACACAGGAAAACCAAGCCAGAGGCTTTAACTGCCTGTTTACAGCTGTGATGATCAAATGGAGAAGCTTCATGTTGTAAGAACCATCCTTTAACATCAACATCTACGCGCGTAACGTTTGACTCGTGCTGTGTCTGCTTTCTGGATAAATCCTGAAGGAAGCTCCATGTTTACTTTGCCATTCCCAAATGATGTTCCCTTTCAAATAAAGCAGAAGGAAGCTGGGGAGGGTTAGTAAATGTTCTGTGTGTTTCTTCATGTTCGAAGCAGCTTTTGAAGTTCACGTGTATTTAGAGTTTCTCACCAAGGAGAAAAGAAATAAGAAAAGGGGGAGGGAAAATTCTTGGAAACTGAAGGAAATTTTTTCCAGGCTCTAAATCCATTAAATGACAGGAATTGGAAGCAGGGTGTTTCCTGCAGTTCCCTTGTTCTCAGGAGGCACAGCCATGGCTCTGTGTCCTCTGATGGGTTAATATTCCAGGTCCTGGATGTAATTCCCTGGCTACAGCTTCTGTCACATCCTCAGCCCTGATGGAGCTCTGTGCTGGCTCTGACAGTTGAATTACAACCTGCAGAAAATCACCTTTACTTTAAGGCACATGCAGGAGTGATGGGTACGGAGGTGCCACTTCACAAACCATCCACAACTGCAGCTCTGAGGTGACAGTTTAGCTCCTGCAGGACATGGGCCTGGCGAGCAGGACCTGCTCCGAGGAACCCTGCCGAGGAACTGTCATTCCAGCTTCCCATCTGGAGCGTGAGCCTGGAAATAAGCCCTTGGAGCTGAGCCAGCGAGAGGCTGTGCCATAACCTGGAAGGAAATGACCGTCATCAAGAATAAACTTCCTGGGTTGCTGTGGGGCCGGGGCAGCGCGGAAGTGAAGCGGCAGCAGCGGAGAGATGGGATTGAGCAGCAGGTACCTGGCTTTATCCATGTCCTGGGGCAGCGGGTGCAGCTCGGGGGGGTCTCAGTGGTGCTGGGAGCTTCCTGCTCAGCAGCAGAGAAACCATTTTGGGGCTGGAGGAGGAGTCGAGTGTTAAGTGCAAGGTTTGAGCTCTGAAAGGATGAGAAGCGCCGTCCTCTTCCTTCCTTATTCCTGGGCAGAAGGAGAGTGCTCTTATTTGGATGGTAGCACATAGTGTTAGAGGTAAAATCGTGATTCATCCTTTATTTTCCTCTTAAAGCACACAGCAACGAGCTTGTTTGTGGTGTTGAACCGATGTAGAGCACAAGGGGAGTGAAGCTTAGTGGGCTTGGGCCTGGTTCTTAAACATAAAGTCTGAAAGAGGTTTGGTTTCTTTCATCCATCCTTAATATCCTCTTTCTTGTTGGCAATGTAATGGGAAGGGCAGGACAATTTCTACAAGTGTAGATTGGAAAGAATTCCTGGGAAGCCATCAGCCTGGGAAATAATGGGACAGTCAGTCCCAGTCTCGTGGTACATGGGAATAAAATGGGGCTGAATTGGGAAATCTGACCCATCAGATGTGCTGATTTCTTTTGGCTTCTTCCCCCACCCTGCACATGAACCCCTGGGGAGGTGGGAGGCCGGGGAGGTATTTGAGGTCTGTGACCTGATGTGTGTGGAGCAGAGGATGCCAGTGCTACCACCAGTGATAAGGGTGGTACTTCCCCTATCGATGGGGCTAAAAGTGTTTTGTCTGTGCTTGATTTTGTTACAAAAAAGGGGCAAAAAGGTCCAGTTAAAGGTACAACCGTGGGGTTCAAGATCAGAGTGTGTTGGGGTTTTATAAGTGTCAGACTTACTGGAGGAGGAACAAACCTGATGGCAGGGGATGTGCCAGCAATTAGCAAGAGGCAGACAAAGGACTTTCAGTTCAAGTGCAGACTGAATGTTTTGAGGAGATGCTGTTACCTCAGATGCCAGACAGTGGTTTGGAATAAATCAGCTTCGTCCCTTCCCGTTGGGACAGTTGGGATCTGCACGTGTGGTTCCTTTCTCAGCAAATTGGAAAGCTGATTTTCCACCTCCCTTGTGGGACCCACAGTGCACAGCTCCTGCTGTGATGGAGCTCTGTGGTGGCTCAGGGATGTATCCACAGCCCAGCTCCAGGCCTGGAGCACTCAGGCTGCAGGAGAGGGTGGATGCAGTGAAACCACAGGGTTGGCTCCACAACCAGGGGAGATTGCAGGGTATGGCCCTGGTGTGGCTGGATGAAGCTCTGCCCTGATGTTCCCTCCTCTGTGACCTTGGATTTCAGCTCCTTGCTGGTTACCTCATCCCCTGACCGCTGCATCCCCTCGTCACGCTCCCCCGGAGTCTGGGCAATGACAGCTCCGTTTCATTCTCGTTTCCAGTGGTTTTTCTTTCCCAAAATGGATCTATTGCAAAACATCCGGCTGCTTGAAAAGCTGCTTTGTTCAGTTCTGCTTTGGGTTTGTTTGCTCGGGTCCCTGTTTAGAAATAGCTGGAGCTCAGCCGTCTCCCTGCTGGAAGTGCCATCTCCTTGTGAAATGAGCTGCTTTAGACACTGCGCACTGGTCTGGAATGTCTGTCTTGCTTTAAACACCAGTTCTACCTTAGTTCGACTTGGCTTTCACACCCTGTTGCTGTGCTTCTGTGGTTTAGAATCCCAGACCAGTTGGGCTTAAAGGGACCTTAAAGCTCATCCAGTCCTAACCCCTGCCACGGGCAGGGACACCTTCCACTAGAGCAGGTTGCTCCAAGCCCCTGTGTCCAACCTGGCCTTGAACACTGCCAGGGATGGGGCAGCCACAGCTTCTCTGGGCACCCTGTGCCAGCGCCTCAGCACCCATTTAGGCTTAAATACAAGGCTTTATTTGAAATTATTTAATTTATGAACAAGGACAAAGATGCCTTTTGGTCGGTGCAGGCTTGTTCCTCTTAAGACACTCGATCCATGTCTCAGACTCTATCACCAGTTTGATCTGATTTCATTTTCTCTATTTCTCTTTGTTTCCAGGCTTTAGCTGAGGCTCAGGCTTCCTTGGAATGATGCCATCACGTACAAACCTGACTGCTGGGATTCCCAGTAGCAAAGTCAAATATTCCAAGCTCTCCAGCACTGATGATGGATATATTGACCTGCAGGTAAGAAGTGGGGAAGGAAACCTCTTTCTGCTGCTCCTCCGACTGTGAACTACTAGGAGAGGCTGCTCCAGCTTTGCACAGGCAGGAGAGGCTGTGGTTTTGTTTGTCTCCAGTTGAGCAGCCTCGGCTCAGGGGTTGGAACTGGATGATTAAGGTCCATTCCAAGCACTCCATGAAGTAAGCTGCAAGCCACTGCTTCAACCCTTCTCCTGCTGGAGGCCCTGTAGAGCTCAACTGGGAAGAAGGCAGCTGCTTTAATGGGGTCAAATGGGTTTCTTAGGAGGGAGGTGAGGACTGGGGAGCAGTTTGGGCAGTGAGGGTGTAACCCCCAGCTCAGCAAGGATTCCTTGCAGCACTCTGTTCTGTGTCAGTCTGCTTCCTGTGGGATTCACACCTCTGCCATGGGCGGGGGGAGGCTGTGCTGAGTCAAGCTCTTTCACATTTGTGGTTCTTTCCATGCAGTTCAAGAAGAGCCCACCAAAAATCCCCTACAAGGCAATTGCATTGGCGGTTGTGCTCTTCATGATTGGGACCTTCCTGATTATCATAGGAGCCCTCCTCCTGGCTGGATACATTAGCAAAGGCGTAAGTGAGGGCACTTCTGATCCGAGTTTTGCATCACTCATTCCTCAAAGCCTGCCATGAATCTACTATATTCAGTGTAGAAACTGAAAGCAAAAGGCAGACCTCACCCCTCCCTCCACCACCCTGCTGGTGTTTGCTGGCTGCAGCCTCGTGTCCCTGGCAGCAGAGCCCTCTGATGCCTTCAGTTAGCAAGTCTGGAGCAGATTCAGAGCTGAATTGGGGATGTGCCAGAGAAACCCTGCCCTCCCTGGGGTACAGTTTCATTTTCATGCTGCATCCCTGCAGAGCTCAACTTTGTCCTGGGATCAGTGCTCTTGTGTAGGAGATACCAGACCTCCACACAGGCCACAGCACTGCTTTTTTCCTCTCTGTGTTTATGACTGTTCTGAGTGCTCCATGGCACACTTCTCCTTTTACCTTGTGCCTCTGGAACTGCTTTACAGTTGGCAGCTGCTGCTTATCACTGGGAGCAGCAGCGTTTGGGCTGTAATCAGGCACGGTCCAGGCACAGGTGGAGCTGGTTTGTTCATTGTGTTAGGAGGAACCACCCCTCTGATCTAAAGAAGTTCAGCTGAGGGCTTCCTGTAGCAAGGAGGAGAGGATTTAGAGCTCATCCTGGTGAAAACAGAGATATTTCTCATTTAAGATGAGTTTTGGAGGGGGTTTTTTGCCAGCTACACCTTAGGGATGAATAATTAAAACAAAGGAATGATTCCCCCGTACAGATCCCTTCTTACCACTTGTGTCTCTCTCCATGCAGGGAACAGACCGTGCTATCCCTGTGCTCATCATTGGGATCCTCGTGTTCCTCCCAGGCTTCTACCACCTGCGCATTGCTTACTACGCCTCCAAAGGCTACCGGGGCTACTCCTACGACGACATCCCGGACTTTGATGACTGAGCAGTGGATGTAACCCCATTGTACTTAGGCTGGCACTAAGAGCTGTTAGTTACCCTGGCGATCAGAGAGGGCTGTAGATGAAGTTAATCACTTGTGAGACACCAGTTCCTGGTGTGGCAGGTTTCAGGATTCACCATCAGGTGAGAAGAACATGGGATTTAGGGTGGTTTTCCTCTTGTTGGTTACATGATGCTGGTTGCTTGTAAGAACCTCTCCTTGGGCAAGGCAAATTCTAGCCCTCTTCCCAAAATAGATGAGCCAGTCTCAGCAGCAGCAAAGAGACTTGAGCCTTTTTTAACTGTTTTACAGAGTTTACTTTAGTTTTCAGCGAGCTTGTGGCTGTCGTTAGGTTTCCCTTTGCAGACAAACCCCATATCTCAATTCTCCTTCTGTTCTCTGTCCATCAGAAATGCTTCCAAACTACTTGTCCTGTGCTTGTCGGGAGTTAACAAAAGTCAGGGGGAAAACTGCGCCTGAGATCATCTACACATAGTGCATTTGCTACACAACCCCTCATCAGATGGACCAAGCTCATGTACTCAGCAGACCCATGCTTCAGGAGAAAGCTTTGTCCCACACCAGTGTTAATTTGGCAAAATCTGCTTATCCTTTACAAAGGTTGTTGTTGGGTTTTGCTTGTGGTAAACAAAAGGATACAGGGAGATGGACTGGAATTTAGAGCAGGACTCGAGTGTCTAAATAGCAAACATCTTGGGTTTGACTAGTGTGGCTGCTGGAGATGCTTGAATTCCAGCTGGCTGGCTCTGTGTGTGGAAGCATTTTGCCCTCATCTAGATAATAAGCTGTGCACAGTAAAAAGAAAATCTCTATATAATTTGTAGTGAATAAATCCCATTTATATTGTTTTGCCAGCTTCAGTAATAGGTTATTCAGGGAAAACAGATGAGTAGCTCTAGTTTATGTCAAGTAAAAACAGCCTTTCTCCTGAAGTGGGAATGAACTCGGTGTCCTGGGGAACAAATATGTGACAAGTAGTGATGCAAGTAAAATGTATTTAATATGAATAAACTTCACTCTATTCTGTGTACAAATCATAAGCTTGTCTCTTCCACATTCACAGATCTCGGTGTGCACCAAAAGCTGTTTGGGGCAGCCAGATTAAGGCTTTAGCTGAATCTGCTGTTGCAGTCCCTGCAGGCTTTGCTGAGCCAGCAGCTTCCAACAGCTCCATGTGCTCTCCGGGACCCTGTGCTGAGCTGGGATTACTCTCCCTGGTGCAGCAATCCAGGGTGCTCTGGTATGGCTGGAGAATGTGCTGCTTCAGTTTGCTTTGGTTTGGGGTTCAAACACCCTGTTCCTTTTGCTGTGTGATGTAGCAGGAGCAGTGTCTGTTTGGATACAGCTTGCAGGCTGGTCCTGGCTTTCCAGAACTGTCAGGTTTGTCTCATCATTTTTGATGGAAGAGCAGTATCACTGTTGGTGCAGAGCAGGTCTGTGGAGCTGTCAAAATGGGAACAGCGCTGAATGAACACCTTGCCCTGAAAGTACTCTTAAAATTGCCTGTTTTCCTCCTCCAACGTTCCAGATTAAACCCAAAGCCTGAGCCAAGACCTTTTTTTAACCTCCATCTCTTCCCCTCGTTTGACTCGATTGGTCTGTGTGTGTCCCTGTGTGCTGAATCCTGAGGAATAACTGAATCCCAGATCTCCCTTTCTGGCTCTGCACGTTCCCTGCTGCGTCACACCGGCCCTGTCGTGTTCCTGACGCTTCCCAGATGTTGTCACATCGTGCCTGGGAGCAGCTGAACCGTGTCCATTAATGCTGGGTCTGGCCACGTGGGCAGCTGCTGACGCAAAGCCTTGAATCAGCCTCTATTAGGGGACAAAACTGTGGGATTTGGGAAAAGGGGAGAGGAAGTGGAAGGGAAGTTTAGATGGAGAAAGAAAAGGGGGAGGAAGAAGATGCTTTCAAGTGGGGCTGGTAAGATGCAGGAAGTTGAGAAGCCTTGTGGTTGACTAAGAAGGAGAAGTAAATGCTTAATGATAATGAAAAGGGGACTGGAGGGAAGGGAATTAATTCATTTCTGTTTCATTTGACAGAAGCAAAGGCCTCTGGCAGTGCAGTGGAGAAGGAAGAGCAACCCCTGCCCTAATGCTCACAGGGTTGTCTGTATGAGGGATGGCCCCAGGGAAATTTTCCTCTCTACAGGGATTGTTTTATATCTAATGTGGAAAAAAGGAGGCATTTTTTGGGAAGAAAGAAGGTCTGTTGAGCACTGGAAGAATGGAGATCCAGATGATTTCATTCTTTGAGTTGATATACTACATTCTAAGCAGGGTTGTCCTGCAGAGTGTAAGTCTCTAGATGTTCTAATGTCATTAACTGTCTAGCTGTAGTGTAGCTAATAGCCAGGATTCCATTTTCTCTTGCAAAATAGCATGAGTTTCCCTTTATTTCAAGAGATTGGAAGACTTTACTGCGAAACATCTTGTTTCTCCAAGCCTGGGCCATGCTGTAGCAGTGGTGTTGCTCTGCTGTAGATCTGAGTGCAGTCAGTGTGTCAGCCCTTTTCTGTGTAAAGCACCGTGCAAGGATGAAGCTTTCCTCCAGAACGGAGCTGTCGTTTTGGTGCTGATCCAATACTAAAGGATCTTTTCAATGTTCCTCCCACTCCTGCCACGCTGGGGACCTGCTGCAGGAGCTCCATGGCTGGTTGGGCTCCTGCTGCCTTGCCCGAGCACCTGAGTGCGGAGCTGTATCCTTCCCTTCACCTGGCAGATGCTGCTGCCAAATCCCACAGTTCGTGGCTCTGCTCCTCTCGTCCCTTCTGGAAAATCCTGGGAGTTGTGGGTTTGAGGAGAACTGCCTGACCCACAGAATCCCAAACTGGTTTGGGTTGGAAGGGACCTTAAAACTCATCCAGTTCCAACCCCCTGCCCACAGGCAGGGACACCTTCCACTAGAGCAGGTTGCTCCAAGCCCCTGTGTCCAACCTGGCCTTCAACACTGCCAGGGATGGGGCAGCCACAGCTTCTGTGGGCACCCTGTGCCAGCGCCTCAGCACCCTCACAGGGAAGAGCTTCTGCCTTATCTCCAACCTGAACTTGCCCAGTTTCAGTTTGAACCCATCACCCCTTGTCCTGTTGCTCCAGTCCCTGATGAAGGTCCCTCTCCAGCACCCTTGTAGCCCCCTTCAGACACTGGAAGCTGCTCTGAGGTCTCCAGCAGCTTCTCTTCTCCAGGCTCAACAGCCCCAATGTTCTCAGCCTGACTACAGTGCTGAGGGTAATAGGAGAAGCTTCTGGTTCTAGAGCAAGGCTTGAATGACAAATAAGGCTCTGGCTGAACACTGATGGATGAGGATAATACTGAACATTATTGAGCATCATCCATTCCAGGCACTTGGCAAAGCAGCTGTGTCAGGGAAAAAAATAGTCAGCATTTATGTGGCTTAATGGAGTGTTATTATGCACAGCAGCTCCGGAGAAAGAACAGGCACCTGATTTGAGGCTTTCTCTAGGTTATGAGTGCTTTAATTCATGTGTCCTCAGTGATGTTTTCCTATTGCTGTTGTGTGGTGTGTTTATATGATTATGCACTTAATTTAATACTATGAAGTTGCTGGAAGGACATTAGGAAACGTGATTCTGGAGTCCTGTGGCCTGAGCTGGTAGATTGTTCCCCCAGTGTATTACTTATAAAAGCAAAGACTCATTTTAAGTTGATCCTGTGATTGATTTATGACTGGAGTGAACAGAGTGAACTGAAGTTCTGAAGCATCATCCCCTCAGAGGATACTTTTCTTAGTAGCAAAACTGTTTGAAACATGGAGGTGAATAGATGACATGAGCACAAGTTTCCCAGAGAAGCTGTGGCTGCCCCGTCCCTGGCAGTGTTCAAGGCCAGGTTGGACACAGGGGCTTGGAGCAACCTGCTCTAGTGGAAGGTGTCCCTGCCTGTGGCAGGGGGCTGGAACTGGAGGAGCTTTAAGGTCCTTTCCAACCCAAACCAGGCTGGGATTCCATGACTCTGTGATTCTCTGCTCCTTATCTCCTCATCTGCAATAGCTTGTTGTTAACAGCAGATTGTGCTCCCCAAGGCAGAATGGAGCATGTTCCTCTGCAGGAAGCTCCTTACCACTGTTGGTGGTGCAAATGCCACCAGCTGGGAAGGATGGCCACCAGTGGCTCCTGGCTCAAAGATGCTGTGTGTAACTGATTTTCTAACACTTCCAGAGCCAGGTTCCATCACAAAGGGAAGTCAGGCACCAGACTTGTACCAAGTGGTGACATTCAAGTGCAGAGCCAAGGAGTCAACATGCTGCCCACACAGTGGGCTTTCTGGAGAGGCTTTGCTCCCAGAGATGGTGTGAAGAGCACAGCAGTGGTCTCTGCCAACTCAGGCACTGGACAAGGCTGGTAACAGTGAGGGTTTATAGCAAGCACTGCATCCAGTGTTGCATCAGGCATTGAAACAGCCTGCCCAGGGCAGGGCTGGAGTCACCGGCCCTGCAAGTGCTCACACTCCGTGTAGCCGAGGCCTCAGTGCCAGGGGTTAGTGGTGGCCTTGGCACTGCTGGGAATGGTTGGACTTGATAAGCTTAAAGGTCTTTTCCAACCTGGTTGATTCTATGATCTGCAAGGTCATGGCTAATGCTCTTGTTGGGAGATCCTGTAGAAGGATATCTGCCCGAAAGGGGCTTTCAATGTCACATAGCAAAAATTGGATGGAAAGAGACCTTAGAGCAGCTCCAGTGCCTAAAGGGGCTCCAGGAAACCTGGAGAGGGGCTTTGGACAAGGGCCTGTAGGGACAGGACAAGGGGAATGGCTTTAACCTGCCAGAGGGGAGATTGAGATGAGCTCCGAGGCAGAAGCTCTTCCCTGTGAGGGTGCTGAGGCGCTGGCACAGGGTGCCCAGAGAAGCTGTGGCTGCCCCATCCCTGGCAGTGTTCAAGGCCAGGCTGGACACAGGGGCTTGGAGCAACCTGCTCTAGTGGAAGGTGTCCCTGCCTGTGGCAGGGGTTGGAACTGGATGAGCT